CTGGAGAAGAGTTAAAGTTAAAGGCGAAACTGCGAAGATACTGAAGCGACAAAAGGAACAATTGAAAATGAAGAGGAGACCGTCGGCATAGGCCGGAAACGCGGAGAGGAAGAAAGAAATAGCAGATATCCCATCGATAGTCGACGATTCTCTTTTATAGGTATACGCGAACCACTTTGCCCAATCGAACGGAAGAGAATTACATGTGATGGTAACGGGGTCGGTAGCTCGGAGCGCGCTAAGCCGACGGGCGATTGGTTGATTCGATCGATTTAAGGCCTTGATCGATGACGACCGCGGGATAACCTTATTACCTGCACGAGTTAAACAATTACCCGTGGCAGAGAAAGATCGTCAAAGAGCAGCAGATTAAAGAGTGCGTCCGTCTTTCCGCTGCCTTCCTCTGCAAGTAGTATAGATATATACACGTGTGGACAAAAGTATTCGTACATGCTCGATGAAATATTGTCTGTATATATTTCAAACTTTTATCGTAGAAAGAAAAAAATCGTATAACGATCTAGTTGGCCTCGTTTTAATGTGCGATGTCTCCAATTTGTTTTTTTTTTTTTTCAAAATATTTTTACGCTGTGTAGCAAGAATGCTTTCGTACTCGAAAATTGTAAAAATTCAGACATTAAAGAATTTTTCTCGTGACTAAATCTGCTATGATCTTGAGGACTGAAGTCTTTCTTTGCATGGCAAAATTTTAGGATTTCTAGGATTTTTTGATGCTTAATCGTAATATTCGAGATTTGATAAAACGTACAGCAAGTTTTAAAAAATTGCAAACATCTTCAATCTTCAAGATCGTGATAGATGTAGTGATAAAAAAAATTTTTCAGTCATTTCGTTTAATTTCTACAATTCTCGAGTACAAATATAATATTCTTACTCCCATTATAAGCTGTACAAATAAATCTTTGGAAAAAAGATTGATAAAGTAGAGATTACTCGATTTTGTTTCACGGAGTTTAAACGATTTAAAATATCGCTAATTTTCCATCGTCAGTGTGTGAATACTTCTGTCCATCTCTGTTGAAAACGAGCTAGATTCAGAGCAAATTGAATTGTTCTTGTGAATTGCGTTAATAATGATGTCGAATGTTTTGTTACAACAAGAATCGTAATTGACGTGCCATTTCGATGGAAAATATAAAATTTATTTTAACAAAGAAAGTTACAAGAATGTAATTGGAATTTCAAATTGGAACTGTATGATTGTTGAATTTATTTCCTTAGCGGACTTATAAAGAGACGGATGGAGAGAACAAATGAAAATGGTAAATGTTTTGTTCCTGAGGGATCTGCTTGTAAAATTTCCTAGGCAAGTGTCTTAATCCTTCGAATTATAATATCGAGTTACATTCGCGGTACGAATTATGGTCTCGATTATGAAATATGGATTATGGAATATGAATTCCATGGAATGAAAATTGGATTATGGAATATGAATTTGACTTTCAATTTTAATTCTTCAAACTGAAGATTAATAAGTACAAATCCTATATAATGCTTTCAATGCTTTACACCTGTCAGAATATTGTAATAACCAATGAGAAGAAAATTATAAGGCAAAATGTAACAACTAACTAAGGACGTTGATACAAATTACAAAAATATCATGCGTAATAAAATATCGAAAATATGTACATAAAGGAAAGGAAGTCTCATTCGGTACGTATTTGCAACAATTATCAGATCTAATCGATAACGTTCTTTGTCACACCTAATTGTAAGTTTATTTAACTTCCCACTTTCTCTGCCATCCTAAAAGCAAACACTTGTTACGTGGATTTCAGCGGGATCCCCAGATACCACCATCCTTCCTAGCTTTTCCCATTTTTTCTCAGACGAGAAAGGACGTCTCCTTTCTCGGTTCATAGACGGCACTTCTACTTCCTTAACGCTTCGTCGTTTCTTTCCTCCATCATTTACAATTAGTTTATGTGTGTATTGAAACCAAGCTCGAAAAAAATGATGTAAAACATCTTTGTCAGAAACATTCCTCGATAAGTAGCGAAACATTCTAGCAGCTTAATTGCTAAGAACGTAATAACGTTAGAATTTAAATAAGTTAGCTAGAATGTAGCCTGGTAGTAAGGTTTACTATGGCGGAAGATGGAGATCCAAGAGCTACGTTCCTTCCATTAGCTCTATCTTCAACCACGAACAGTAGCTCAGACTGCATGCAACGAGTTTCAGCTACATCTGCTGGTGAAGAGCGATTAAGAAGAGTGAGATGCAACCTGTAGATCGCAGTGCAGCACGGTGAACAATCCAAATGGGAGAAGTAGCCATCAAACAGCGAAACATCATCAGTCAATATCAAAGATAGTTGCCAAGGATACCGGCATCGGTTGCAACAACACGAAATTCGGAAATTGCCGAATCAACGCGGCAAGTTGCAACTCCGCAGCCAGCAACTCTCTGTATCGCGTAACATACATTCTCACCCGTCTCATAAAATACATCTGTTGTGCTCGTCCAATACTTGAAATCGTGGGATCCGTTTTTCCCCCTTCCATTACGATTTTAATTTAAATTTAAACCTAGGATCCTTGTTTTAAAAAAAAGAATTACTGTAGTAATAGAATTTTTTTTTTCTTTTTAATATATTATTAGAGTATATTATTAATATATTATTAAAATATTATTATTATTTAATATATTAATATATTATTTTTAATATATTATTAGAGATAAAAAATATATTATTACAAGTGAAAAAGGAAAGTAAAACCCGTTGGAGAACTATTCACTACAGAATTCCTCGACAAAAGAAACAAGAAACTTGCTGTCGATATAAAATTAAAAAAAGAGTAATCGATTTATTAAATTATTTTTTTCTTCACTTTTTCGTCCCGAGAAGTTCTGTAAGCGGAGTATCTCAGTTTTCTCAACTTTTATAAATGTTAATCATCCATTTAGCCGGCACTGGCACCAGTTTTTAGATAAAAGTTCAAACGTACATACTTACGTGGTACTTCGACACACTTCGTACATTTGCTGCGAGAGTTTTTTTTTTACATCGACGTTAGTAAACTTTTGCAAATAAAAAGTATTGGTGACATTGACAGATGTGTTTGATGTTTATTTCAACTGGCTGGTGAAAAATCGTGCCGCTTTCTTTTTCTATGAGACCGCTGATTTTTGCGGTCACGAACGTCGCCCTGTTACGTGCCGAAGATTCGTACCTGGCGCACCTGTGTACGCAACTGGCGCGCATAGTAATTTGACGCATCAACGCAAAAAGTTCGTAGGCGACATCTCTAAATTTCGACCGTATTTCTCACTGCGACGTGACCTTTGTTCTTCCGTACATAGCGATATATCCTCTTCATCCTGCCCTTTTGAAACAAAAAGATCCTTCGGTATCCTCTCACAGTTACAGTAGATTTGTCCTCTTAATAGTCTTCTCCTGGGAATGCGAGAATCTCTTTGGAGAATCACGACAATCGCTATGTAGACTACGTAGACCTAAATTAATTTGCCACGGGATCCATTCAGGGTACGATGGATTGTAGTCGCTACGTATGGTAATGCCATGCAGAAATCCTGTCCGTTTCCTTGAGACAATGTTTGCTAATTTAAGACAGTATGACAGAGAAAGAGAGAAAATGTAAAATATGTACGAATCTGGCAATCGCGGGAGAAACGGCACAAAGTATGATATAGTAGGATAGACTAAGAAGAAGTTTAAAAAATAAGCGGTAAGGAAACATGCTAGATTTTTGGAAAATAGAGAATAGAATTATATCAGACGTTATAGGAAATTATATATAATTATAATCAGATGTTAATATAATATAATCTAAATAAAAGAAATTATATAGATTTGTAATAGAAAATAGAATTATATCAGAATTTATTATATGATAAAGAATATGATGCTTATTAGATTAGTGTCCTTATTGCAGACTTTCTTTTGTCCAATATTGTATAGATTTTATATTTATTTCCATATATATATATATATAT